AAAGCCTGTGTGCAGCAATGAAGACCCAATGCAGCCAAAAATAAATTAAATAAATAAATTTATTTTAAAAAATAAAATAAACTATATGGTGAAAAGATAAGAGTGCTATTCAGGGTGATATTTGGTAACTATTAAAAATTAAATATTACTGATTTATATAAATATTGGGATTATAATTTTGTAAAGCATTATGCCCCTGAAAATGTTTAGAATTCAAATTTATGAACCCTAAAAATAAATGAAAGGGATGTCAAGAAGTTATCTTCTGAGAATTATGAATGAAAGAAGAGAGAAATCATGATACAAAATAAATGACCATGGGAACATTTTTAAAGTAGAAGTAATTCTCTAACATTTAAATTTCTAAGATTTAGATATTTAAAAAAGAAAATATATAAAATATCTATATGAGAGAAAACAGCTCTATAAATTTATTAATAATATGTGAGTAGAAGCTAAAATTTTAAAAATGACAAAGACAATTGAAATGGTGAGAATCCTATATCCATTCCTCATACCAGGATATATTCCAGATACCAAAAATATTTTATGTAAAAAACAAAACCATAACTTACAAGTGTAAAAATAAAACATCAGTAACATTTTTAAAGTTTGGAGGATGAAAAAAATAATTCTAAGCTACATAAAACAGAAAATATGAAATATGTAATTGGCAAATTTAGATTTATAAGATTTATTTTTTCCAGAAGAAAATAAAAAACAGTGACTGTGGCCTGTACACCAATTAGTAAAGACATATATTATTAAGGCAATAAAAACATCTGTATAAACAAAAATGTGGGTAAAGACCTTGAATGGGCAATATCCAGAAAAAATACATATAAATCACAAACAAGAGTATGAAAAACTTCTCTAGTGATCCAATACATGGAATCTAATACTAAATGAAATTGTTTTTCCAATCCTTAATTACTAAAAATTGATATCTGTGAATATCCAGGGTTATTGAGAAAAGGGAAAAAAGACATTCTGAAGTATTGTTTTGAGTCTGTAAATTAGGAGGGTAAATTTTGCAATAATGTATTACATCAATAATGAATACATCAATGCATAGTACATGGTAAATGTTCAATAAATATTTTTCAACATTCAACAAATATTGCTGAATAAACAAACATAATATTGCTTTATTATGGAAACAGTTAGGTATGTATCCAGAGAATGTGTATTGCTCATCCAAGCAAATGTATATCTCCAGTAATTTTTTTTTTTTTTTTTTTTTTTTTTTTTTTTGCGGTACGCGGGCCTCTCACTGTTGTGGCCTCTCGCGTTGTGGAGCACAGGCTCCAGACGCGCAGGCTCAGCAGCCGTGGCTCACGAGTCCAGCTGCTCTGTGGCATGTGGGATCTTCCCGGACCAGGGCACGAACCCGTGTCCCCTGCATTGGCAGGCGGACTCTCAACCACTGCGCCACCAGGGAAGCCCACGGGAAGTTTTTTTTAAGTTTCCTGAAATCTTAAAAAAAGATCCACATAGTTTTAGGCAGAATGTCACCTGGACTTGTATAATTCTTTATTTTTCATCTCAGTTTTCAAAGCAAGGTTTAATTCTTCTGTGAGACCTTTGTGAGAAGATGAGAATGACTAGAGTGTGGTGTATAGAGACATGAGTATGAAAATCACTGAAGCTCTCCAGGAGAGACTTCAAGATACAAACAAGAATGATAATTACAGGTGTTAATGAATAAGTAAATGGAGATAAAGAAAGACTAGTGGAGGATTTGCAGCTGAGGGCTTTTCACCATTTTGGTACATGAAATAAGAAGAGGAGAAATAGGTCAAAGTATATATTTGTATGTGTATGCATATATATAATTTATAATTTTATCTCTTTTTCATGAAAACCATTGCTCTTTCCCTTTTGCCTTAACAGCTAATATTATGACTGTAGTTTCCTCCCCTTTCCACCTCTTCACCAGTCTGATTGTTATGGTGTCACCAAGGTAATCTAAAATATGACTCATAACAAAGCAGAACTGAAAAATTATGAGCCTTAGAAGAGCATAAGATAGTCATTTTATAGGACAAGAAAAATCAGAGTAAAGAAAGTTCTAAAATAGAGCTAAGAAAAATGTTACACTAACACAAGTCAGAGAAATAGGAGGAAGACAAGAAATCAAGTTTAGTCAGAACACCTAAGAGAAGAAAGGATAGAGATAAACGACATGTAGAGAGAATTTTCCCCTCAGGAAACCTAGTCTTCTGATAAGAGTTATATATATATATATATATATATATATATATATATTATTTTCTTTTCTTTACAAGATTAACAATTCCTATTATAACTCCAGGGCCTAAAAATAAACATCATCCAAAACATCTTAATAAAAAATGATTTGGTGTCAAAAAGTAAAGAAGTAACTGTAAAAACCTTACTGTTACAAAACTGTAGTTATAAAACAACTGTAGATATAAAACTACATATATAATATATATTTTTATGTTAAAATAATTTATGAATTTGAATAAAGTATTCAATATTGGTCAATCTTAAAATATGCTAAAAACATGAAATATTAAGGCAATCAACACATAATTTTTTTTACCATTATATATACAGTCACATATTGTTAGATTTAGCAATATTTTTTTATTTCCTTTCACCGTTTGGCAAATGCATTAAGCATAATGTCCAATTTAATTCACTTCTAGATATTTCTCTGTAATGTGATACAGAAAAAAATGTTTTTGTGTTTCTGTACTTTGTAAAACCTGAAGACCAATACGTCTTTGAAATACACTATAATAAATACAAGATCTTCTGAATCTTATTTTTCTTTAAGTGATGGGTATACTTTTAAAGTAAAGGTAATTTTGAAAAAGTAGAAAAAGTTACAATTTATTTAAAGCTGATAAAGTTTATAACTGTGCTTCAAAAAGTGAATAAAATAATAGGGGTCAAGAAATCCTTAAGTCTTGATACAGGTATTAAAACTAACCATATTATCATCATATTTTCAACTGTCCAGTTCTGAAACTGGATGTTACTAGGGTTTTTCACAAGCTATTACACCTCACTTTCCTAATTACTAGAAAAGGCTCTAGACCACATAAATGTAGAACTGGTTCTAAAATTTTAAGTCACTGTATAATTATGTCTATATGTAGATACAAACTAACATAAAAATAGTCATAATATCACACATCAAGGTGACTGCACATTCTTTCTAAACATACATTAGCTTTTGACTAACTTCCTTGTTTCCAGACAGTGATAGAAATAATATATTCTTACACTGTCATTATTAACTTAAATGAAATAATTTTGTTGTATCTTTCCGCTTTATAGCAAAAAAGTCTTTTTTAAATGTCTTCGCACTTATTACTACAATCTAAACTTTCTGAAACTTTACTAGATAAAATTACTAAGTCTTTCAAAGGATGGAAATTCAATTGCTAGCTTAACAAAACAAATGCATTTAGAATGTAAATAAACTGGAAATACTTGAAATAACCAGGGTAACATCTTTCACATATGTACTAAGGTAGAAATTTTGAGTTTTCAATAATTTAGAAAATATTGGCATAAATATACAGAGAATTTAATTACCAAGCTAAAAGTTAGAGAATTAATCCACAACAGATCTCTGCACTTCACTTGTTTTATTCTTTTTTCTCTACTGTAATGCATTTCTGGTTCTCTTCTGCATATCCAAATCCTACATGTCCTTATGGTAAAATATCAAAACTCACCTGCCTCAAGAATTTTAAACTGGCTAAGCATATTTCAAATAATTCTGTTTCATCCTGTATCTGCTTTATGTTCCTATTAAAAATTCTAAATAGAGCTTTCCCCAAATATTTATAAATTTTATATACATTGACTACTTGGGTTTTATTTTTATATTCTTTATATATATATATATATATATATATATATATATATATATATATATATATATAAAATCTTCTTCATGAGCAATTTTTTGAAGGCTAATAAGATGTCTTCTATCTTCATTTGATTATTCATTATGCCTAGCATAATGTCATATACACAAAAAGTATTCAGCAAATAGTCTACATTTTTCCTGAAAGAAAATAATGAAAATAATAAAACAGTTCTACCAATGTTACTCTCAAGTATTGTTAAACAATTTGTTGTATTAAATTGTGAGCTTTAACTATTTTCAGAAAAGAAATGTTGTTCAACTAAATGCAAAAGTATTAAAAATGCTCCTTAGCAAAATCCACAGAATGTACAACACCAAAAATGAATCCTAATGTAAACTGTGGACTTTGGGTAATTATGATGTGTCAATGTAAGTTTGGGGGGTGTACAAATGTACGACTCTGTATGCTTGTGGTGGAGAATGCTGTACCCCTGTGGGGCAGGTGTATATGGGAACTCTGTATTTTCTGCATAATTTTTCTGTGAATCTAAAACTGCTCTAAAAATTTAGTTACTTAAAAATTGTTACCTAATAATTATAGACATTATCACTATGTTAACAATTATAGCTAAACTAATTGAAAAGTTGTAAAAATAAAAGAAATCTCATATAATTACTTCCCGATAAATAGTAACAGGAGATCTCTTAATGAGATTTCTTAAATCTAGCTATTAAAATTAAATAACAATTTAAATGCATTGTTTAAAGAATTTCTATGTGGAAGATATTTGACCAGTATAAATACTGAAGTAAAAATTTGCTCTATATTTGCTTAAATGTAAAGAAATATCTTATATTGATTAATGCCTTTCACATATAGGAAGTTTCTTGTTAGTATGAAAAAAGTTCAAATAAAAAACTGAAAGAGTGTTGAAGATTAAAATGTGAATTAGAAAGTTAGATATGAAAATGTTCACAATGAAGAAGTGTTTAGAATAGAATAGAATATTTCTGAGTTCCATGTAAAAATATGATTTCCACACACTCTTTCCAGCGTAATATTGAACTTATTCTTACAGGTAAATCTTAAGCAATTTGAGAAAAAAAAAGACTGTAATATAAATTCAAAATTGTGTATAAAACTTACATGCTTTGTGAAATTTTTGTTTCACGTCATGAATAGTAGATTTTTGTGTCACCTGAAAAATAAAATAGAATTATAAGGAAAAAGTGTTCATTTGTTTGCTACATATTTGTTTAAGAAGAAAACATAATTTAATATATTCAAAATGTAAAATAAGTACAAAATAGCCAGCTTGTTTTGTTTAGCTCTTTAGGCACTACTGCTTTGACAACCTTGAAAATTTTCATCAGTATAGCTTTTTCCAAAGTTTTATATTTGTATATAATAATAATAGTATAATCATGTGAGTCCATCCAAATTTTTATCTCAAAATATACTTTTGAATTTTCTCTGCCCATATTATTAAATTTCTGGTTTCCAAATTGATGAGACTATCAATTAAAAGTATGAGTAAATGCAAAAAGAGAAAAAATATATAGTAAAAGAGTTTATCAGAGGAGGCCAGGGATATAAAATTGATTTACATGGACAAAAGAGGGAAATGTTTACTTCAAAATATTATAAGAAAAAAAAAATATCCTATCTAAACCCTGTAGTTAGTTATGTTTTTAAAACTTCCATCCAAAAATATAATAGGTCCATCAAGAATCTATGTTAGATAGCTTTTTTTTGGGAATCTTTAAGTATATTATTGTTATTTGATCCTAATCTACTAAAATTACCTCTTTCTAATGTTAGAAAAGTGCATAAGGGAAAAATATTTCTTCATCTAAATAGGAAAATTCATGATAAGAGTTTTATCCAAACACCTCAAGCCATCACAGTACTTTTTGACTTTCTGATTTTGTTCATATCAAACTTGCCAACTGAAATTCCCCTCTGCCTCTGATTCTTCACTGGCTTATGAAAAACCCAACAATCCTTCAAAGTCTACATCAAAGACATTTTCATGATCATGCAAGTCAAATTTATTTCCTTTCTCTAAACATGTATAGAATATTGCATACATTATTTTATTTTTTGCTACACTAAAAATCTTCTTATGGCTATTTTGGAGGACAAAATGAAAAAAAAGTGCATAAAGGGATGCCACATAATAATACTCCAGGCAGTTCTTATTAACATTATTATATTATATTTAATATTGTATTATATATCAAAAACATGATGATGAATTCATTTCTTTTACTATATTCTACTCCCTCCCATAACCAAGTGTGTGATATACCATTCAGAATTTTTTTTCTTATTTTTTCTATTTATATAGTTTACTAACAAGAAAGTTCTAAGATTTGGGCAATGAAAAATGATATTAATTTCCAGTTATGTTATGCTTTAAATAACAAAAGAACCCTAAATGATTCTGTTACTATGAAATTTTAAATTGTTCATAGCACTGTCCTTTTCTGGAATATGTTAGGAAATATTTGAAAAAGTTTTTAGAGAGGGTAATATATATTTATTTGTGTGAACATGTCATATTTCATTTTAATTTTGATTATTGCATTTGATATTTGAATTATATTTTTAAAAGGGGATGATTTGTTTTAACAATGTTCATTGCTTTATCTCACTGTTACTTAATCACGAAGCAGTATTATATGTTGTGTCCTCTGACAGGGATGCCTAAAATCCATGTGCTATCTCTACAGTAACAAATACCGGTCCATCAGTCTTTTCAAGGGCCATCTAATTTTAAAAAAATAATAATTTTCATAATTAACAACCCCTCTGTTAGGATTTGCTATATGCTTAACTTCTGCTTTATGAGGGCACATAATCTTGTGCTTACGCGCTGGCAGTTCCAACAATCTATCAGGTTCTTGAAAACAATGATCTTCTCTATTGCAGTTTGTGTCTCAACATGTAGCACACCACATAGCATATAAGGAAGTGTTAAGTCACTTTTGTTGAAGTCAAAAGTAAAGCTGTGAATGCAAAGTCACATGAAAACAGAAGCTCCTTGATCTGATATGAAGTGTTTCACAAGTAGATTACTATGGAAAAGCTGTATGTTTTTTTCCCAAACCAGCATACATTAAATGACAATATTCTAATTTATATATGCATATTTTTTCCTGAATTTACAAACTTTCAAGACTAAGATTATGTTCTCCTGAAAATACCTACATGTGGGAAGTGGGTTGTTATTAAAAGCTTTCTCACAAAGTTTTAAATTTTTTTTTTTTTTTTAAATTACATTGGACTTTCAGTTGTTAAAATGTTGATTTTGCATAAATCTTTGAGAACTGACCTTTCTGGAGCAATTTTAGTCAAATACAGCAGAAAAGAATATAATTAACCATTAAATGATTCAGACAGCGTTGCTCAATTAGCCACAAGACTATGCTTGATCAACTCTTTCAGTACTTTAGCTGTACTCAGAACACAAATAGAGAAAAAGATGATAATTAACAGAGCATATAGGACTTTCTGATTACTAAATTGATGACTCTGTAGCTTCATCAAGAAGTTTATTCGTAATAACTTCTACTTTTTAGCCAGTTTTACCTCTTAAAAAGGACAAACTATCATTACAATAATGTATTCACTTTTATATATCACCATTAATTGTGCAGATGGAAGAAATAAGTATTCCGTCATCTGAAATCTGAAATTCTCTTCATTAATGTTTCCTTCTAATTAGAGGAAATTAATTTTAAGATGTTAAGTACACAAGGTAAATGATGTTTGAAACAGAAATTTACCTCTGAATTTCAACTGATCGTAGTTGAATTTTGGGTCATCATTACTTTATTCAACACTTAAGTTGATGGACTTAGATAAAGCTTTTCACATTCAAGTGAAATTTAGGATTTGCTTGAATTTGCCCCCTGTGAAGATACTGCAGTATTTCACAAAAAACTTTTTTTTTGCACTATTACTAATTTTTAAAACTATATTTTAGCCACTTTCTCAGGAACTCCTTAAAATGAACAGATATCTCCAGAATACTGTTTGTCCTGCTTAGAGAAATGAACATTAAATAGTAAGGAAAAATAACAACTTGAAATTTGTTTGACAGAGTAATTGCAAAGTGCAAACCAAAAATTGTTAATGAACTTTGTAAAAAAATGTGTTTACTAAAGACACAGAGAGACTATATAGTATACATAAAACAAAAAGACACATAGAATATATAGTTGCATATACATTACTCAGAATGGACAGGAAGTTTTCTGAGTAAAAATATATTATTTTACTAGTGAATAACCTTCAGATTGTAACTAAGATACAAATAAGCAATCTATATGAAAACATTCTTATAAATTCAGAACATGTTTGATATTTTATAGAATATCAAGAATTTTTGCTATGAATGAAATTGACATGATACTATAGATATGCAGAAATATCAGTTTTAATAAGGTTTAAACATTTTAAATTTAACTGGATTTCATTTACTATTTAAGAAATTAGATAACTGTTTTTTAGCCTATCAATTTTATTTCTTTATATACTACACTGGATTATTTAAAATGAGTTTTTGTTATGTCAAAATAATATATGTACGTATATACACATATTTTTCAATTTTTAGTATCATAACAAATGGTTCTTTATATGTTGCAATAACACATTTAGTCAATTCATTTTTAATTCAAAAAGAAAATAAACATTAATAAATTCTTTATAATTTTTACCATAGAAATTTTCAAAAATATATTCTTCTGAAATAATATGCTTTTTTTAAAATAAAAAACAAAAGATACTTTATTATTATCCTAAAGTTTCATAACTGGAAAAAATCTATTTGCACATTGTTTTAATATAACATTACCCTGATGATATTGATTTTATTTTATTTATTTAATTTTTAAAACATCTTTATTGGAGTATAGTTGCTTTACAATGTTGTGTTAGTTTCTTCTGTATAACAAAGTGAATCAGCTATATGTATACATATATCCCCATATCCCCTCCCTCTTGCATCTGCCTCCCACCCTTCCTATCCCACCCCTCTAGGTTGTCACAAAGCACAGATCTGATCTCCCTGTGCTATGCAGCTGCTTCCCACTACCTTGAATAATAAGCTTTTAAATAAATACTTTACTCCCCAGTAAATTATGTGTAAATATAAATTTTATTTAGGAGTATAGCCTAGATATTATTTATTTTCTTATTACATATACATATATATCATATAAATATTATAAATATGAGTAGAGGGAAAATATGGTGAAAAATATGACTGAATATCTGATTTTATTATATGTAATTTTTGTATAGTTATATTATTTCAACATTGCAGACATAAATAAAATCTCAGTAGCCACTCTAAAACTAATATTTAATTTTTATAATCCTTCAATAAAATTAAATGTCCTTTAGTGACTAGAATATTTATTTATAGTATTTATTGCAAAGCCATTTCATTTCTATTCAATATGAAAATGGTAGTCTTTATATAATATGTATTAAATAAATGGTTATTTCTATACACTTGTTTTCTGTCTTATAACTTGAAATTCTAACATATGGAAAATATGAAAGAAAATTTAACATTGCAACTAGAGTTTGATACCCTATCAAAATAAAGAAAAAAAAAAGAAATATGTTTTATTAAAGTAGAAAATAATTCTGGTTTTATAGAACACACAATTTTCCATGGTGAATGGTCTTTCTGGAATATTTTTTAGGATGTATGATTTATAAACTAGGTGAGGATATTTTAGGACTAGAGAGGATCATGAAGACCACAGAATTAAAAGCATATATTTAAGAATAAAATAAAGCCTGGTGAAATGTATGATTACTTCTTAGATGACTTTGATTATGCTTTCCTATTGCAGGTTTGTGATGTCAAGAAAATAATCCTTGCATTCAGGAAAGTTTAGACTTAATACATGATATTAAAACATGATATTACTGAAATAAGGAAGCTCAAATCCTATTTAAATGAAGTGGTTTCTGTATAAATACTGAACGACTATTTCAAATAAAATAGTGTTACCTATGTGCAAACTAATAAGTAATCATTAAGAAAACAATCTGTTAAAAACACTATGATAAGTTTTACTTTTTCTTTTCCAATTGTATTCCTTTTATTTCTTTTTCTTCTCTGATTGCCGTGACTAGGACTTCCAAAATTATGTTAAATTAGAGTGGCAAGAG